TTGTAAACAAGTTAACAATCCCAAAGCAAGAGAAAGAGTTACCGAAATAATAAATGAACTAGGACTTGTCGATATATATAGGGAACAACACCCAGACAGTAAAAGATATACTTGGAGGAGAACTAGTCCAGTAAAACAGGCAAGATTACACTATTTTCTAGTTTCTGAGAATCTGTTATCTTGTATACAAAAAACTAATATTGACCCAGGATATCGATCTGATCATTCCATTCTATATATGACAATAAAATTCAATGATTTTAAGAAAGGCAAAGGCCTATGGAAGTTTAATAATTCTCTACTTCATGATTTGGATTATCTAAATTTAATAAATAAACATATTATAGGTGTTAAAACCCAATATGCTGTACCAATATATAACCTTGATAGTTTAGATAATATTTCAAACCAAGATATACAATTTACAATAAATGACCAGCTCTTCTTAGAAACTCTTTTATTTGAAATTAGGGGGAAAACCATTTAATATGCTTCTTATAAGAAAAAACAGGAATAATCTAGAGCAAGATCTAAGACAAAAAATAAAAAAAGATAGAAGCACAAGATGTTGTTAATTTTGAAGAACTAGAATTTTGTCAAAAAGAATTAGAATCAATAAGAAAGCATAAGCTTAAAGGTAGCATTCTGAGGTCTAAAGTGAAATGGATAGAAGAAGGGGAAAAACCATCAAGATATTTCTTCAATCTTAAGAATAGAAATTTTGTTACAAAAATTATTCCAGTTATAGAAAAGGATGATGGAGAAATCATTAGAAAACAAGAAGAAATCTTAAATGAAGTGAAACAATTTTATGAAAAGTTGTATTCAGTAGACAATGAATTACATGACATAAACTTAAATGAATACCTTAACAATGATAATATACCAAAATTAAATCCTGTAGAAACAGCCAAATTAGAGGGTAATATTACTTTTAAAGAGGCATCTCATACTCTAAAAACATGAAAAATAATGAAAGTCCAGGTTCTGACGGTTTTACAGTTGAATTTTTAAAAATGTTTTTGGAAACAGGCCATTTTGTCGTAAGGTCAATTCAATATGGTTTTCTTATTCAAAATTTATCTATAACTCAAAAACAAGGAATCATCACATGTTTACCAAAGGGAGATAAGCCAAGACAATATTTGAAAAATTGAAGACCACTTTCACTTCTGAACACAACTTATAAAATTGCTTCAGGTACAATTGCAAATAGAGTAAAAAAAAGTCCTTGACAACCTCATTAATATAGATCAGTCGGGTTTTATCTCAGGTAGATATATAGGGGAAAATATGAGAATTATATATGACATTATACAAAATGCAGAAGAAAATGATATTCCTGGTATGTTACTTAATGTAGATTTTGAAAAAGCCTTTGATTCGGTGAGTTGGAATTTTATAGTTAAAGCGCTTGAATTTTTTAACTTTGGAAATGATATAAGGAACTGGGTTCATATTTTTGAAAATGGTTCAAATTCATCTGTTAATCAGGGGGGGAAATATATCATCCTTTTTCAGTATTAAACGTGGAAGCCGACAAGGCGACCCCATTTCTCCGTATTTATTTATTTTATGTGCTGAATTGCTAAGAAATAATGCTGATATTAGGGGGATCAGTTTAGAAGACACTCCCATACTATTATCTCAATATACTGATGATACATCAGTTATACTTGATGGATCCAGAAATTCCTTAAGAGCGACACTCGAAGAATTAAAACAATTTGCAGATATATCTGGGTTAAAAATAAATAAAAGTAAGACAGAAGTAATTTGGATAGGAAGTATAAGATATAGTGAGGTAAAATTTTGTCCCGAATGGAACTTAAATTTGGAAAACAAAAAAATTACTATTTTAGGAATTGATTTCCATATAGACTTACACAAAATGATCAAAATAAACTTTGATAAGAAATTAGACTTAAATCTCTCTTAAATAATTGGAATAAAAGAATGCTTACTCCTATTGGTAAAATACATGTAATAAAATCACTCTTGATTTCTCAATTTAACCACCTTTTTATTGCTCTGCCAAACCCTGACTTATCATTTATTAAAAAGTTAAACTCAGAACTCTATAGCTTTCTTTGGAACAGTAAGGTAAACAAAGTGAAAAGGGACACTATTATAAAAGAGTATAGAGAAGGGTGTCTGAAAATGATAGATATACTTTCTTTCATCAGGGCATTAAAATTAACATGGATCAGACGGTTATACAATAAATCAAGTAAATGGCAACATATCCTTGACAGAAGCATTGATATAAACATTTTCGCTAACTGTGGATCAGGATACATAGGAGAATGTGAAATGAAATGTAAAAACCAATTTTGGAAAGATGTATTCAAATCATGGGGATATCTTAAGGAAAAGAACAGACTTTGATAAATAAATGTATCAATATTAAAATCTCCAATATGATTTAATAAAAATAACAGTAAATGCTAAAATGGTGTTCTATAAAGAATGGTACAAAAAAGGAATATTTATAATCAATGCTCTAATAAAATTGCCAAATTGTACATTTTATACTTTTCAAGAATTTTAAGATAAATATAATGTTAATACTAACTTCATTACATATCATGGCATAATAAATTCTATTAAGGACTACATTGCCCAGAAACAGTTAGAAAATGAACATCTGTCTTACCCATTAATACCCACTAATTTGGAGATTTAAAAAAAAATAATAAGTGCTCGAAAGACTTGAATAACATCCTTTCCTTAAACATCTACTGGAAAAAGAAAATGGAATGACGTATGTGTCCCAGGACATTGTAATATAATTTTCAAAAAATGCTTAAAAAAATAAAAAGAGAAATGATGGCTTCTTGACGGATACAGTTTAAATTATCTTTTTTTTCGATTTCAATTGCTCGGAAGATAATCATGTGAACTATATTGTCGATATTTTGTGTGAAGTATAAGAAACTGTCCGTATCAATCTGGTATTGATTTCTACCACAGGCAGATAAATCTCCGTTTCATGTATTAGTGTCGTATGTTTCCTATCATATCGTGAAAAGGATCTTTATAATTTGTCGGCATCATAAAAGCGTTTTATCGAAAGTAAACTTATAATTAGTGTTTGCTTTATTTGTTAATTGATATTAAGTTTTCGGTTTGATTTATTTGTCAGTACGTCCATGACTCAGAGAAAAACCACTCGCTTGATAACAATATGTCTGTCGGCTCATTTCTGATCTAATTTACTGGCTGTCAAATAATGTAATTACTTAGTACCGGATAACCAGGATAATATCATGAAATTTCAGGGTGCAAAAAGAAGAGCCTGTCCTTCTGGAGGAACCGGTCATAAAAAAGATTGGGAAATTCCATCAACGAACACCGGGTCAGGTAAAAATTGGACCATGTTGTTCTTACTTATAGAAAAGTTGAAACAAATAACAAACGTTGGCGTATTTGTAGGTATAGCGACGGGATGAGTAAACAATAGAAAATATGATAGAAGTTGCATTACCAGAATATATATTCAACGCAATACAATTATCATTTATAAATATGTTCATAAACTAATTCGAAACTGCGAAACTTGGTGTAAGGTTATACAGGAATTCGACACATTATATACTGAAAAGATATGAAAGATATCACTAGATTGGGATCGAACATTCGTTTTTGGAAATAAATGAATAAATACAACTTTCTATACAGGTGGTTCTACGTTGGGGCGTCCAGAGAGGGTACTCGGTCATACCAAAGAGTTCAAATAAGCAAAGATTAAAAGAAAATTTACATGTAAGTATAGGATTAGTTTGTCATGTATATACAAATATTTGATAGCCCATGTGTTTTAATAAAAGGTAATATTACACATTGTCATCAAGTTTACAAAGTCCTTTCTACTTAGAGTATCATACAAAGGACACACCGATGAAAAGTACGTTTTAATACAACTTAAGAATACATTATTCCTTACAAAAAAAAATATGCAGAGTCAATATTCAATTATCAACACATTCGTCTCTCGCTCTGGAATACCTTTATGAGGAAGCCGCGAGGAGGTCTCGTAACTGACTTTAATCGGTTTTAATTTCTATTTTTTCTGATGGTTTGTTAATTTGCTTGTGTATCTTTATTTTTATCTGAATTTTCTCCAAAACCTTATAGTTAGATCATCTATAATTTTGTAGAATGCATCCTAAGATGCGATATACATTGAAACCTTGATATTACCCAATAGTGATAATGATAAGATATAAGTGTTTACATGTTATGTAAGACGAACGTTTGATTATGTGCAATGTCTGTCGATAAATACCATGAGCAAGAGTTGCCTCCCTTTAACAAGTGAGCTGCCTCCCGTTAACGAGTGATATTATTCTTTTGCAGATATTTGACTTTTCACTAACTGCCAGAGAAATGGAGGAGATAGCAGCGTTGAATAAAAACCAGAAAGCATATGGATTCGAAGGGTAATGAGTAATTTATAACACATTTTAGTTCCTAAATATATTATCTAGCTTAAACAAGGAACAATGTTCTTTCTAACTGCATACGGCCTTCCTTTGAAATAATATCGAATGAACTCTCCGTTTCTGGAACAAATATCATTAATATCACTGACATGCTATGTGTCCATCCTTTCGTAACAGTTCGTGGGTTTCTACAAAGAAGGAGACATATACATGTACAATATTTGTATTTTTGTGACACTACTTTATAAGAAAATGAGTTCTTCTAATTAGATTTATAAATAATAGGTGAAGTGTACATTTTTATTTTTATTATTTAGGGTTATTTGAATTTCTCTCCTTTTTATCAATTTTCTTACATTTTGCTCTCTACTGGTGAGTTCTAGAAGATAGAAGCGGTTTTGTGATAGATTTTATTCAGTATGTTGTGTCATAGTTGCAAGTCATTTATTCAAATATTTTCAACAACTTACATTTCTTTTCAGTGCCAAGAAAAGTCCAAACTATCCTTTCAACGAACCCACTCATATTGAGCAAGGAGGGTCGGCAATCATGTAGAACGAACAGAGTGTATCACGGTTGTAGATATAATGATACTATGTAGACTAAATATCTTCTAGGTATATGCTGAAACAAATATACTACATATAGAATCATCTGGTCTGATTTGATGCAGTAAAAAAGACAATTGAAATAAAATTAACAAGTGACTGTTACCTGTAACCATCTTATCTCTGGGGATGTTACATTTACTGTACAGAGTTTTTCAACTTACTGTATTTATAGATGACTCATTTCTGAAATTTTCTATGGACTTTTATTTTCTAAATTTTCTCATACAAGTGGTAAATGTAAGTTATATTGCTTGTGAATTTTTTGACTACTCTGGTCTAATCTACCGTGATATCTGTATAAATCATTGTTGTAGGCCTCATCACCCAAACATATAGTGAATATTTCAAATGTGCGATTCATTTTTTGATAGCTCAGTCTTGTGTAAGGTTCTTTATCATTAAATGCAGCACGTGACCAAATATAATGTATTTATTCAGTTGTAAGCGAGAAAATGTGTCGTAAACATCAACCTCGACCCACGAAAACAAACAGGACAATTCAGTCTTTTGTTATCTGCCCTTGTGAGTGGGTATTGATTGTTGCCTCACTTTTTAAGAGTAACGGCATAAACTTGACAAAATGACAACATTTTCTCACACCAACTACTGACACAACAATCATTATCTGAACGGAAAAATGGTATTCGAAATCACGAAGAATAGCTTACGTTTGGCTGAAAAAAATCAACACGCCAAAGAATCTGCACCGCCTTGTTTGATTTCTTTAGATACATACATGATAAACTCCTACAAACTATCAATGTATTGTTTTAGTATCAATTGAATCCTAAAGTCTCCATATATGTTAAAAATTTGAAATGGCCGACATGTGTAATTGCGAAACATATTTTTCAGAAGATTTGAATCCTTAACCATTCAATATGTAAATACATATAGACATTCTGGTCCCTGGTTAAAAGTTAGAGTTATCCAGTGATTAGCGGAAAACTGACCACTGAACAAACAAGAGTATTAAATACAAATTCATCCTCAAATATATCAATCTGACCTATCTAAACAAACCTATACCAATGAAATGATAAATTAATGTTCTCAATTTTCTTTAGTTCATGTTTGAAAAATTTCGCTAAGCATTGGTTATCTCTAACCAGCATTTGTACAACTGGGGCCTGATCGCTACAACTATTGTATCACAGTTCACTTCGACACACAAATAAAATATTTCATTCATACACCTCTTCGTTGTTCATCTTATGTGATGTGTGTGTGATTGGAATTCATCGAACAGGTACCATATCCGAGTGAATGAAATCAGATTTGTTATCAACTTTGGCTCAAATAACCCTTCATGTGTGTTGGTTATAATTAACTTTTACAACTTTCTAATAATAAAAGGACACGATAGACTCAACAACAGCCGCTAAGGACAAACGTTTTGCGTGATTTCGCGGTCCATAATTGTATTATTCGAGTTTTTGGTTGTGTCATCATCAAAAGGTTGTACCCCATGTAAAGATTTTCATACAAGATGTCGACAACTGACAGATAACCTTTACAACATCTAGTTTCTATAGATGCTAGTTGATGTATAACGAAGTTATATAGTCATGGAAATACTAGGAAATACTTACCTACGATATTGTGTTTGTTGCTAGTATACCTGATGCCTTCATTGTTATTGACCTTATTTTCATTTCTTTACTTGAGAAAAACGACTTGGATCGACCAAGACCGGTTTCACCGATGGAGATGTTACCCTCCGAATACGTGATCTTACTCACCTATCTATTACTCTCTATGTGATTCCCCTTCCCCCTCCTCTTCAATCTCTGGATAGCAACTTTCCTGCATTCCCAACTATGATTTTTATCTGTCGCAGTTGTTTCGATATTAAAAGGACCTGTTCCCATTATCATAATTGTCACGCAACAAATCCTCAAGTGACTGATAACTCGGAACACGGGGTTTAAAATGGTGCAGGCTGATGAAAAACATGGGAATATTTACAGTCGTCATCGTGATCTCATTGAGAAATAATATATTTCGATATGAAGCCGGATGTGCTTTATGCTCGTTAGTTTGCCTGCTGGTTCCGTTGTTATAAACTTTGTTCTCGTCTCAGAATGTGTCTTTACTTACTTAACCCAAATTTACATGCCGGGTGTCGTCGATGAAGCAGAAAACGCTTACTTTTCCGGAACACCTGCTCTATTCTCCATGTACTTTTTCACGAGTCTCCGTGTAGATCTTTGTTTTATTCTCATTTTGTCCAAATTTTGTGGCATTCGAGTTTGGACTATGTTGACAAGCTGGTACTTTCTTGTTTTAGTGACAAGCGAGACCAGTTGCCGAAATCAATGTCTGATGACTATTCATTCTATAGGAGTTATTTCCCATTTTACTTGTCACCTCCATGATGGCAAACATTATATCTTTTTCTTCTCTTATCAAGATAGAAGTTAAAAGCACATTCAGATCACATACCTATTCAGTTAAAATGTTAGAATAAAATAGAAAATTATTATCGATAACTAAATTATTTCTTTTTAACGAAATTGACGGTGACGTTCTCTAGAAACTTTATACCAAAGTACCAACAAACAGAACATCTTGACATTATCAACATTACAAACTACATTATATATATTTATAATATATTGTATTTTCATTTGAAATGAGGTGCCCATAACATAATGATGATTAATTTAAAAGGTGACAGGCATTTGACTCCGAATCGTTTTGATGAGTGATGAGTACGTGATGACGTATACAGAAAATATTCTCTCGGCTTTTGTTTTAGGTTTGATGATAACTGGATATGACTATTCACTGGTGAAATAGTAGTCCGTCAGTTGTCACAATGTTTGTTTTTACTGACAAGAGTAATCAGATGTATTATATAAACATGTTTTACCTTGAGTGTGATGGCACATACATATCATCACCCACATCATGACTTTTTGCTTCAGCTTACAGAAGTAGTACATGTACATAAACACAATTGTATGTATTGTCAGGTGTAGTGAAAGCATGTGACTTTTTGACTTTGTTATACAGTAATCTTATGCTATATATACATGCCAAGTGCGTGCAGGTAAACAAGGGATGTATAAAAAAAACCCACAAATTAAGAATTCGATAGAGTAGAGTCAAATAGAGGATGAGTGGAAAGGCGTTTAGTTAGATCTGCAGTAAGTGATATCTGACCTTTGTCTTGTCACCTGTTAGTTAAGTATGTTTGAGCTCGTTTTATACCCATTAGAACAAAACTGTTACATACTGAATGCCTTATTCAACAATGTTACAAAATAAGATCTGAAAAGTATTTGGACAGAAAAATCATCCGATAGGTGACTACCTCATTGAACAACATATGGGAGATCCGACGCATTCAATCAGGTGTGTTTTGCTCGAGGACACAATCATGAAGCAAATACGAGTTTGTCCATTTCCCAGGTTCTTGAGAGATGGCACGAGTAGGAAGCGTGACAGATTGGATTATAACCCTTAGTATTGTGATAAATGTTTGCAGTGATTAAGTAAATAAACATGTAAATCATTAACGTCTTGTATATTATGAAATACGTGTGTCTGTCATCATTTACGACTATCATGTGGGTAGTCATTATTTGTGTGACCGGTTAACAATATTCTGAAGTAACCACATTTAAGAGTTTTTACCATAATGGCACGTTTTTTAGCTTTTGTGTAATAGAAAAAAATGTTTAAGATATGCATTTCAATGTTTGTGATCAGCTAATTACATGTGTATGGAATGACAGATATTTATGGTAATAACATCAGTTGTTTAATCTCTGATCAGAAGTTTTATATGATCAATAGTATACTGGGGATTGATAGACAAATTGTGTAGTAGTTAATGTTAGTCTTGTAATTGTGCACCGGATTTTGTTTGTAACACATCCGCGTGTTGAACAACTCAGATTGAAACCTTGAACTTATCTATCTATCTCGTTACTATTTAAATAACATAGGTGGCGCTGTCAGCATTGTGTATAAATACAGTAAACAACTCGTTATCTGCCTTTTCATACACTCTAGCTTGTGCTCAGCACACACGCTAAGAGCTACAAACAGATTATAAATTGAAAAGGAATTTGACTATCTGTTGTATATATCGTGCTGTTTCAGCAATTTATTTATGTTTGTTAAATTGTATAACTAGTTAGGAAGTTTCATCAAAAACAAATTTCATGGATTTCAGATATTTTAAAATGATTACTGACGTTATTAAGATAAAATTACTTTTTTTTTGAAAATCGTTACATTCAAATTGAAATAAAATCTAAAATCTAGGAATCGAAATTAACGGAGAGTTGGCCTAACCTAGTACAGGTAGGTATCTGATTATACTGTATATCATACTGGTTTTCGTGGTAATGATCAATTTCTGTAAATACAGACAAGTTAAAAGGAATAAACAATGAGTATCTGCATGAAATTTATATCCTTATTAAGTCAGTTATAAATACTGATCCTGAAAATGGGAATTTTCTTTTCCAAAAATATCTCTTTTAAAACCGAATATTCTATCTTTACACAATATGTTTTTTAGAATTAATTGAAATGTTAATCGGTTGTTAGAGGATTTGTAATGGATTCAACATTCATTCTTCTAATTTACTGATAACAAAATGGATAATAAAGTAAGTATGTTTTCTATACTCACATGGCGAAGTCAGGTGTTTCAATTTGAAAGTCTTAAACGTCTACAACTTTTAAGTGACGTTTCCTCTGCATTTTTGTAAAAAAAAAAGAGCAATTAATCTCTAAAACTTTGTCCTTGACAGAAGAAATCTATACCTACAAACGTTAATTTCTCGTTGAAATATTCAGGTTTTCAGCGTTGAATACATTACTGTGCTGATACAAACCTTCATATCTCGATCACATCTATAACCGATACATATTTTGTTACTATTATCAATGTTGCTTATTACAATTCTAGTGCTGAAATGAATT